CACTTCATTTTTTTTCTTGAGGGGCAAAGCTGGCAAGTGAGACTTTTTTAATGACCTACTCAAGGAGCATCTTTTATAGCTCTGATCATAGCTTAAGGTGTTATTTAGGCAAAAAAAAAAAAAAAAAAAAAAAAAAAACTCTGGCCCGGGGGTTATCAATCTAGAGAGGGCACCCCCCCCAAAAAAAAAAAAATATATATATATATATATATATATATATATAATAGAAAGAAAAAAAAATGATCTCATGTGTTTACCCCAATCTTGAATTATTTGGATTTTAAAAAGTTAACATTTCATTATAATCAAGTTGATAATAGCAATATAAATTACCTTTACTTTCCAAAAATTCAAAAATGGGTTAAGTAGATAAGATCAAGTAAGCAATATTGCTTTTACTTAACTCCTGGTACATTAACAAAATATGTAAAAATCGCTCATAACTTCTTGGTACATCATAAATCAATAAAAGTATGACTTTCTCAAACAAAAGTCTTGAGCAAGAAGAAAATGTAAATACCCTCTTCCATACCCACACAGTGGATAATCAAATGAAGATTTTCCCAACATGTTTCACCAATTACTGTTACCAGTATAAGTATCATTTGGGAAAACTCTTTCCTTTAAACAGTATAAGTATCATTTGGGAAAACTCTTTCCTTTAAACAAAGAAGATTCAGCAAAATATACACATAATTTTGATAAACCTCATACAGTTGCAACTTTTTAAAAAAGGATTAAAAGTTATCAGAAATTACATACAAAAAAGTTAGTATATAGTACTAGAGGTTTACCAACACTGTACATAACTGAATTTCATAAAATTAATATAACACAAGTATGCATACAAGAAAAGCTCAAAAACATGTCCTTAAATGTTTCATTTATCTCCCATGGTTATCGATAAAGTATTAGAACAGGTCAAGATCTTGTTGATCATTTGCTGGTCGTTGGATCTGGCTTCCATTTTGTGTTCTGGGGTCCAAGAATGATCATGCTCAAGACGGTAACTTCCCAAAAACTCATGGGGGCAGGTGCTACCCCACTCCTGAAATTTGGAAATATAAACTGATAAATAAGCAAGCTAGTATACAGTTGTAGAATACATGAGCAAATAAAGTAATCCTGTACCTTTTTTTTCTTTTTTTTTTTTTTGTCATGAATAAGGCATTAATTTTGAAGATACTTCTAGATTTACATTATAAAACCCTTGCCTCAGTTTACATATCATTAACATTGCTTTTACTGTTTTACATTTTAAATCATTTTTTAAAACTCCAACTTTATCATTCTCCACATTGTTTCAACTACGTCAAAGCTTTTCTCATACAAAAATTAATAATATTACTGATATTAGAACAGACTGAACAATATGGTCTTCATTGTTACCTGAGGGCTCAGCAGTGACAAATATCGCTGTCCAGATGACCTTCTATAGAGATGGTAGATTGTTCCTGGTTTCTTAACCAAGTTGCAAGGCACATGGTGAAGGTCAGCATTTTCTTTAGCTTCTTCCAGGACTCTTCGGGCCTGATCTTGAAGGAATCTCACTTGTTCAGCTATGACTTGGAGCTTATTGCTCACATTGGCATGAACAAATTTGTCAGCCTGTAAAGAAATGATATGTCATCTGAAACAATTTCCTAAAAAAATTAACTTAAAATCACCACCTTCCATGAAAAAAATACAAATTTCATGAAATTTACACATAGTGGGATAATGAACTAGCAAGAAATTGAAAATTCATCAAAACAGAAAAATCAATACCAGTGATGAAAAAGAACCTCAAAAGGTATGATAAGTGGCTCATTATAAGAACACAAACAAAAATCTTTTGTACCTATTTTTTCTTGTGGAACTAAGAATTACAAATTTAGGTAAAAACCAGAAATATACGCTGGAGTGAATAATCATGAATACTAGTTGGTGACTAACTATTATGATGATATTTGATTTGGTAACAAGCTCACTTCCTTTTTATCTTTAGTTTGAGTATAAGACAAGCAATTATTCAACCTCTTGCTTTTGAGAAGCTTAATAAATGAACATGCTACAGTGCAACTAAATTATCTGAACTTCTTGTGTGATGTAAAGGTCATGAATCATAACATACAGAGACAAAACAAGAAAAAAGGGTCAAGTTCTATACCTTCTGGATTTCTTGTGCAAGCTCAACCAAGTCCATGCAATCCACTTTGTTGGTTCGGTAAGGGTTAACCAGCTGGACACCCCCTGGTGTTGAGTCAGTCTCCACTAGGTTCACTGCAAAAAATTTCAAAAATCTCTAACATAATATTTCATAATGAATAAAATGTATTCCTGTATATGCAATATAAAACATGAAATGACAAATCAAATAGTAGTGGTTAGTGTATCAGATCAACTTTCCAGCAGCTCCACTTAGTAGGCCTATTCATATAAGCAAAGAAAAAATGTACATGAAAGGGACGTTAACAATATTGAGAAAGGGTGTTTTAATAATTACATTTTTTCTTCCTGAATTATAATAGTTCATGGAGTATATTTTTTGTTCAGTTTGCCTTTTTATTCAAACATATAAAACCAACCAGACCTTTAGCTGAAGAAGCATAATGAAATTTAATCATATACAAAATATTAACAGGCAAGGTCTTCATAGAGAACATGTAAGAAATTAAAAACTGTTATCTCTAACACACAAAAACTGATGCGGATTAGTAACAACCAAAATAATGTTTTATTCCTGGACTAAATTGGACTTGATGGAAGTATTTATGATAATGGAACTAGGAACCAAAATTTCGGATCAGGCTATAATTTTCCCTGCTCATGATAAAATCAATCTGAATTAAAGAATAAAGTGCTACAAACATAAATGACACATTGTGCTTCTATCATTTCAACGTGTAATGAAGCTAATGGTGGAAGTGGCACACTAATCTCCAGCAAGATACACAACAGAGGTATTGCACCATAAGGCATATACATACATTTTTTTTTTTTTTTTTTTTTTTTTACATTAAAACCTAAAAACCTAAGAGCCCAGACAATTTCTTTTCTTTTTTAAGTTAGCCTACTACCTCACTCAATTATGCAAAATATTTAAAATACTAACATAACTTCCTCACAGTGTTATTCTATGAATAGGATACTGCAAGACAACAAAATCCATAACCCATGACCTTTTGTTCATTCAAATTCAATGTACAGATAAAATATAGATCTCCGTGACTAAATTGAATATGTGTAAAGCACCCAAGCCCTATATGACACACTCAAGCATGAAACAAAGAAATTTCCTCCACAATACTAAAAGACAACATGTCAAACAATAGCACAAGCACAAATTAGAAATTTACAGTTGGCCCACAAAACAAGTAACCCATTTGATCCAGAAGCCTCGCTTCACAAAATCCAGGCATTGGGCTTATTCAAGTGACAATTCTCCTAGGTGTACGGATTGTAGGCCCAGCCCACACTATCACTCAGTCTGCAATGTCAAGACTCCTTCCTTGCCTCCCCTTTGCAATATTATTATCTCTTTCTCTGTACATTTTTTGTTTGTTTGTTATTTTCCAAGGTCTAGATCTATTATTTGATATGATATATCAAGATGATAATAAATGGTTTCCCCTGCACATACTCCATAGCATCTCTAATTAATTACATTTTACGCAATAACAATAAATAACATTGTGCAATTTATGCCTTTTTATAGATTTTTACAATATTCAATTTTCTGTAATACAATATACAGTGACCAGGCAATGAATAGGATCCTGAGTATGGAAATAATGTCATCCCTGGAACCACCATTCTTCTAGCCATGGTTAATGGAGGGTACATTCGACACTTTTTTACTTATGGAAATAATGCTAAAGCTCCTTTCATTACAGCATATTCCAGCATCCTGGTCTTCAGACAAATTTTTTCATGACAATATATTCACATCACCTAGCCCTCAGCTAAATATTTTTATGATGTGATAGTCTTATCACCTGGATCCAAAGGGTTAAAACCCAAACTTAACAAAATTTGAAGCAAATGCAAACAAATCTTCTGAGCATACTACCAGCATAGGTACAGAAACCTACCCCTCCAAAAGAACTATACTCTTATTGTCATGATATTTAAATAAATAAATAAAAAATAATGGGAAGAATACAAAAAAGTAAGGAATGAGGACCATGCAGATAAAAGAGTATTACTATAAACTCACCCACTGTTGATGCTTCTGCATCAGAACCTTGATGGGTAAATAAACATATTATATCTAAAAATGTAGAGCAAAAATAATAATAATATCACTAATAAAAAACATGAAATGAATAATAATAAATCACCCTTTTCTTAATATCTGCCTCCACTATGAGAGAATAATTAAAAATTTCATGAGGCACAGTTCTATTGACAGTACTGTACATGAATGCAGCTAAACATGAAACTGCTTTAAAAGAGTGCCGTACCTAACTGAATTTAATTTATGTGAGGAAACACTTTTCTTCCCTGAATATACCCTGATGAAATGACAGTGGAAATAGCATACTCATGTGCCTGATATGCCAGCAAATACAGTAACATTAATATAATAAAAGTCAAGTGTATCAGTTTTTACATATGGAAAAGAAATTGATGGTTTCATTATCTCTAAATTCCTGATGGTATGTCTCAGCTTAAACTTGTTGAATTCTTTTTAATAAATTTCACATCATTAACCTTCATCTTATCAATGACTATCCTAGTATCATGGACTCTGTCTCAAGGTTATCAAAAAAGCTGCTGCTTATTTGTATGCTTAATATACTTGAAAATAACCCACATTCCCCCATTCATTTCAGTATCTCACAGTCAGATATAACTGATGTACTGCAAAAAGAATTGCTTTACAGTAAATATCCTTCACAAATAACAAACACTTTTGTCCTTCATCTTTCAATGAATATCTAATACCTTAAAACAGAATTCTGACACTGAAAAGAGTAAGACAAAGAAATTCTTTGTGGAGAGCTAGTCCAATGCAATTGGGTGGGGGTCTAGACGCAAAGGCCAAAGGTTAGAGAGGATTCCGATTCAGATTTTGACATTTGTGGATTCCCAGGAGTGGCCCCAAGGTTTTTGGATAAAGTAACTGGGAGTATCATAGGGTGCAGTTACTACAAAAACAATAACCAATACATCCCTTAGTTCATTTGCAATGGACAATAACAGTTTCACACTTTTTACAACTTGAATGACTGAAGCAAGAAATTATTTTTACAAGGTTGGACACCTATGTGGAAAAAAAAATCTGCTAATTGTTCCATAAGTCTTTCTTCAATTTTCTATAATCAATCTCAATTTTCTGAGCATAATTCACAAATTTTGAGGACTTTTTGGTAGAGGTTGAAGACCGCGACGCGCGTAGATAGAGGAAAATGGACACCGCCATCTTATAAAGCGGGAAAAATAAAAGGGGATAGCGTATAGTTTAAGATGCTTATAAAATGACGAAAATATAACGCGCGGCCGCCTTTCAAATTCAAAGTCGATGAGCTTGTTTACCTTGCTAGTTGCGTTCGCGAACTAGTCCGTGTATCATTACGCGCTTGTCAAAACGATATTTGGCTAATTATCTGTGTCTGCTGGTACGCATTTTATACCTTTAAAGTCTTTTAGTAATGTTATTATACTTCATTTGCATATTTTTATATTTATCTATACCCTCATACTGAATCCTGCGCATTGAGTGTTTCACACTTTCTTGCGCCAGCCACAGGTTGACAGCTCACCAACCTGTTCATTTCGAGATTGAAAGCCGGTGAGAAATGTTGCGTTTCCAGTGTTGTGTTGATTCTGGGTTCTTTTTAAGACCTTTAAATTAAGACTTCAGTAACCATCCCAGTTTTATATCTGAGCCCATCAAGAGCTCCAAAGGACGAAAAAGGTGATTAAAATCGAAGCAATACCAACAGTACAAAGAAACGAAAGTTTCACGTTTCCAGATATAAAGGTATTTGGTTTATTATTTTACGGTGTGAATGCAGCTCTGTCTTGCCGTACATACCGTGGTGGAGAGAATGTGTCCTGGGGGGTGTTGGGGGCTTGCCCCCATCAACCCTCCCCTCGGGCAGTGCCCGAAGGGCACGCCTTGTCACGGCAATTTATATTGATATATTAGGTTGGTTTATTGGTCAATACGTTTTTGGGGGTTGGAACGTGTGAATTCCCGTAGAGTTTTGCCGAGATGTGGGTTGGGTTCCCGAAGAGTTTTTTTTTATTTATTTCGCGTCAGTCCTTAAACTTTCAAAGATGGCGGTTACATCCGTAGAGTTTTATTGGCCGATTTTAAGCGCTTTTTGTGCTATTTTTACGCATTTTTGATCGTTATTATTCTTATTTAAGCTTGTTTTACCCCATAATTTCCCTGATATACTTCATGCCCTCCCCTGCTAACGGGACTATCAAATCAAGATCGTCGATGGAGAAATGATACTCGATCTCCTGAATGATTCATTCGCAAAAGAAACAATGCCGAAAATCGATGAAATCATAGGATTTCATGCAGAAAAACATCATTTTTTTCGACTTAGTCTCTGCGAGGGTGCGTCGCGGTCTTCAACAATTACCGACTTTTTCTTTACACAATTTTTCTTTACAAAACACACTTTTTTTCTATTTATGGTGAATGTTCAGAATGCCTTCACATAACTGATCACAACAATTTTGGTATGGATGGATTCCTCTCACTCTCTAGTACACATACATAGGAATTGTGTTCCTTCAAACTCCCACATTTTTGACCCTGATAGCTGGGGTGGGCATGAAAGGTAACTCGGAAATTGCAGGGTAATATAACAGTAGCATTCAGTAAATTTGTAACTTATGCACTGTTTACTCTATACATATTTTACCATGCAATTTTCCGGGTCCCTTTCATGCCCTTCCTTGCTATTGGGGCCAAGATGGTGGGTAATGGGGCACTTTTGCAGCATACCTTTGATGTGTATAGATTGTAAAGGAGAGGAATGCTTCAACACCAAAATCATTGAGATCAGTTCTGCGAAGGTGTTCAGAATATTTACCCGTTTGTTTCCCCCCAGACACCAAGCTAAATTTTAGTCATGCCATAGACAAAACATCTACTCATCAAACTAGGCCTATACATTTGGGTCTCGAAACACTACCCGATGCATATAGCTGGTAACACACATTACATAACAGCTGATGTGAAATTATTCAATGTTTACACTCCAATGGTTTATCTAATCACCTCTTAAGTACCAAAAGATCACATCCAACCCTTTCATAGTGACGTAACAAGCTAACACATTCCTACCAAAATAAACGACCAACACATTATATATGATCACTCAACCTTTCATCACTCCAATACATTTGAATTATTCTTTACTCACCTTGAGCCTGTGGAGCATCCTGTAGCCTGTTCAGTGCCATCCTTCCACTTTCAGAACGTATTTTTAGCCACTACTTGCTAACACTGGCGAGCGAAGACTGAGGACGGAGAACCTGTGTGGCCGAGTTTTGTATTGACAAGTTAGGTAACCCCTCGCGTTGAAGGGATCGTGTGTGTAAAAATTAAACCTCTTGTTAAAGATGTTTTTACTTATTTTACCGTGTGTAAGTTTCATTAACTTTTATTATTGGTTTGTTGATGGGATTATTATTCATGAGGGAGAGGGATATATGTGTTATATATGAGTATTACGTTTTATGGATCAATTGTACCTTTACGTAAATGGTCATGAGGTATAAATGCTGCGTTGGGAGTTATGTAACATTAGTAATTCAGTAAAACCGTAGATGAACATACACACATAAACACAAACACACACATATGACCTAATATTCACAAAACAAAGTTGTTATTAAAGATATTAAGCACACACACACACACACCACACACACACACACACACACACACACACACACACACACACACACACACACACACACACACACACACACACACACATAATATATATATATATATATATATATATATATATATATATATATATATATATATATATATATGTATATATGTACATATATATATCATATATATACATATGTATATACAAATACGCACACACACGTACACACATACACACACACACACACACACACCACACACACACACACACACACACACACACATATATATATATATATATATATATATATATATATATATATATATATACATGTGTGTATATAGATATGTAATATTATATATATATATATATATATATATATATATTATACATATCATATAATACATATATGTGTATACAAATACACACACACACACACACACACACACACACACACACACACACACACACACACACACACACACACACACACACACACACACACACACGCACGCACACACACACACACACACGCACATACATATAAATATATATAAATATATATATATGTATATATATATATATATATATATATATATATATATATACATATATCTGTATATATATACACATATGCATATATATTATATATCATATATGTGAAGGGTATGAATCGAACTTTAAACCTTCACACAGATTCTACTGGGGTGTTAAAACACAAGTATCAACAACTGATATAATATGTTATAATGTCAACAACTAAATGTATAATCCTAAGTCCTACAGGAAATATATAAATATATGAACTAATGCACAGAGTACAAGTCCTACAACAAGTATATACGTCATGAACTACGATAACTAGCACGCCAGCACGCCAAGTTTAGAGGTAAATAGAGAGCTTGGAGTGAGGAGTCTTGTTCCTGCCGAGGCTAGGACTCGAGTGATGAGAAGTAGTAAGTCTGTAGGTGCCCTGACCCGATCCAACTCAGGCAACGCCCCCCGGGAGGGGAGGTCCAAATCCATCCTGCCCCGGACTGGGCGAAGGGCAGGCAAGCTCCTCCTCCAGGTCAGGCGATGTCCAGCTTGGCCCCGCCCCGGGTTTGGCCGATGGGTCGAAGGTGTCCCTCGGTCAGGCAGGGACGGCCGGAGGCTGCTTTCCCTAGGCGAGGGTCGACGGTTGCCGGTAGGAAGATGGTCAGTTCCTTTTGGCACGGTCAGTCTTGACCTCCCTTCTGACCTGTGGATTCTTGTCTCTGTGCGAAAGGGGTCAGAAGGATGCGATTACTGGTGTCGAGTTGATTCATCTTGACGAGGCCTTCAGTGTGTCAGGTCATCCGTTATGTTCAAGATAAATGTTTGTATATATATAATAATGTTTGTATTTATACATATATATTTCACTATATATATATATAATATATATATATATATATATATACATATTTGTGTGTGTTTACACACACACACACACACACACACACACACACACACACACACACACATATATATATATATATATATATATATATTATATATATATATATATGTGTGTGTGTGTGTGTGTGTGTGTGTGTGTGTGTGTGTGTGTGTGTGTGTGTGTGTGTGTGTATGTGTGGGTGTGTCTGTGTGGGTGTATTTATATTACTCCCATGAATGTTTATCAAAACATATATGCATGATTACCCTCTTTTTTCCCTGCAAGTTTCATTGCCATAACATCCAGCCCTATCAGTCCCCTCCTTATCCTTCTGCGAGGGCGTTCCAGGACCAGATCCAACGTTGCTAACTTCGCGGACGGTGCTTTTAACGTGCAATGACAGTTAGCATAAAGAAGAAAGATTAATGGTTAATGGTTAGAAATAAATCAAAGTTCGTATAGGACTAAGGTAAAGAGGGGAGAGCAGATGGAGTACGGCTGGGATTTGTAAAGGGGAAAGTGGTTAAGGGTATAGGGTGATTAGATGAAATGGTGAGGATCTATCTCTAAGAAAAGGAGAGTAACACCGAATGAGGAAAATTGCAAAGATCCATTATGAAACAGCGGGTGATATGGGTAGAAATGGTAGTTGGGAGTAAGAGAAGAATTCAGGAAATGAGATAAGAGAACAGAAGGTGGTGAAGTATAGGGAAGAATGTCAAGAGGGGAAGGATTCGGTAAAGGACACTGTTGTGACATAAGGGAGTCACATGAACCTCTAGGTGGGTGTGGTAAGGGTAATGGAGAAAGAAGAGGGAATGGTGGTGCACAGGGAGAAAGAGAGGAGGGTGTTTTGCAACACTCCTCAGACTCAAGGTCCAGATAGCGCTGGGCTCTTCTCAAGCAGTGTCGACCAGTAGAGATGATTGTAAGACCGTCCGCATAAGAGATGATCTTGCACCCCTCTGGAAGGTGTATGTTCAGGTTTAGGAATGGTCTGAGAGGCTGCCTGACTTATGGCATCGACAAGACTGGCCTTGTTCATTGTTTGGTTGGACCAGCATCCAAAAGGATGGTGACAGTGCCAAAGTGATCACTTGTAACCGTTCCATTGAAACACCACCCAATTCTCTCCACTATTGTTACAGTGGCGAAGGTAAAGTATAGGACCCCTCCCCTCACGTGCGTTGGTTGTTGGATGTTGAGAAGAGCGATCTGGGGGAATATCTCAAGTACGTCAACTATGTGAAGGCCTTCCACATTTGGTCTCTTGTGGGGATCCATGATGGGGAGGTATGCATTGAAGTCTCCCCCTACGATTATTGGTGCTGCAGGAGCACAGACGTGGCTGATACCTAAGCTCATACAGTCTTGCCTACTATACACATTGTACAGCATGTGGGGGTCCCCGACCAGGTGGATCTCAAAAGCAAGAGATTCCACACCATCTCCACAGTGCGGCAGGTCGGCTTCTAAGGAGCAGGGGATTGTTGCTCTGCCCAGGGTGACCAAGCCTCTAGTGCCAACTGCGCTTGGCGACATACAGACATAATAGCCTGAAAAGTGAACAGAGTCCACTCTCAATGTTCCTTGTTCTCACTACTGATTGGTGAAAGGAACATTTTGTGTAAAAGCCACATATGTTCCACTGTAGGATGCTTAGATTGTGTGCCATGATGATTACTCTGTGTCACGCTGTTTTGGGCATTAATGTATTAGTCTCCTGAGTCAGATGTCCCAGTGCCGGTGGCATATAACATGGAGTCCGTATAAAAGGTACTGATATAACTCTCTATATGAATAGATTGGATGACTGGTGGCGGTAGTGAAGCACTGATGTGGCTGTCCTCTTTATTTCTTAGGGTAATACGCACTTGTAAATAAATACATGAGTATGACTATACAAGAACACACAGTAGTTGGCTGTGCTAAGGGAGCCTAGGCCAGCGAGAACAAGCCTACCCGCTCGAGAGGCGGTGTGGCCGGCAACAGGGTCGCTGAGGGTGTGAGGGAACGAGCGAGTAAGCGAATGAGTGAGTGAGGGTGAGGCCGACCCAGGTCAGCCTTATATATCCTTTGATCGCAGCATGGCTGCTATACGTGGCTTGGGGTAAGGCGTGGAGGCAGACAGCGAGCATGGGTACACATGTGGGCTATCCTTGCTTGCTGTGAACATGGCGACATGGAGTAATGGCCACGTGGAGTATGCTATAGTCCGAAAATTTCAAGTTGAAGTCCTTGTTGATTAAGGGATCTTTGTTCGAGAGGGCATCGTGTTCTGTGGCTGTAGCTGCGACTGTGTTATCCAGTTCTGTTGAGGAAAGGTGGAATACTGTGCCATAGCTGTGCTTGTGCGTGGAGTAGCTGCCTTTCCCCGACGTTAGTGATTCATCTTTGCCAATAAACTGTGGACTGCCACCTCTTCTGTCTGTCCACATCCCAACTAACGTTCCTCAGTGCCCTGTGTTGCCGAACACTCGTCAAAGGCTGTACATCGAACCCAGTGGGACAGGCAAAAAAGGAGTGCAGCATCCTGACAGAGTGAATACATGTCTGTGTGTGAACCCGCCTACTTGGAAAGACCGCCACATGTTGGCCACCAGGAGGGGGTTCCATAACATTGGTGTCAGGAGTGGGATATTTAGGCCTATGGTGATAACTGAGATCTTTGCACCGGTGGGGCTCGATAGTTGAAAATCTGGCGGACGATTTACCGCCAATAGTGTCAAGCAGGAAGGAGGGAGTCAATACTTATCACATACTATAATTTCTAACATTAATATGATTATCCAAAAATATCACTCTGATCCACCAATTTGAGTAAAATGACCATGAAAAAAATAGATATCTTGTTATTTTCAAATCCTCTTCTAAAAGATAAGTTCACTTAGTGTTTGATATTGAGTGCAACAAGCCTTTTCGTAAATGTTTACATGTAAAGTGAGAAAATTTCGTGGAATTTATAAAGAAGCGCATTATATGATTATTCATAAATTATAAAATAACTGAAACTAGTGTTCCCAGGCGGTCACTCACTGACCACACTCAACGTTGCTTTTGCTGATGAGAAAAATAATACAATTTTGCTTTTCATTTTTTTAGATTTTAGAAGAGGGATACGAAACTACACTAGCTTTTCTCACTTTACATATAAACATTCACAAGAACTTAAGCTTCAATTAATATCAAGCATAGAGTAGACTTATTTATTTGAAAAGGGCTAAGGG